ACCCACAGCAGTCCCACCTCAGACACCAGATTTCTACTTCTTGGCATACTATGAAAGGCATTTCTACAGAAGAACATGCCATCCTTGGGTTCCTGGCTGATCTTGTCCTTCTGTGGAGGAGCCAGGGGACAGTTCAGACGAGCTTGTCTGTCCCCAAGGGTATGCTTATTGGGAGATCCTAACGCAGTGGTGTAAGGCAGAGACACAATCTGAGGACAGTCCCTGGACCCATATTGTGCCAATTGGGATGCAGAGAACCTACTCAGGGGCTCTGACCTTGACCCCGTGGGGGAGCTGAAGCCATTCTTTCCACTGGCACTGGCCAAGTCAGCAAGGGTTTGGACCTATGTCCTGTTTTCTGAGTCCTAGAACTACCACTGTAGGAACAGGGGCTCAGCCTCTCCCCAAGGTTCATAACCTATCATTCCAGCCACAACCTAGCCCTTAGGATAGTTCCCATGGTATGCAGTGTCCAGCCAGAGGAGAAGGCAAGGAGGGTGCTGAGGTCCTGCCCTTACCATCCCTCCCCAGCCATCTATGATGCCCATTTGCTGGTGCCAGACTCTGTGCTGGCCATCATGTGATGGAGTGTGGGGCATGATCTCACTGAGTCCTTGCAACAACTCAGATGAAGTAGGCACCCATTATCCCCATTTTAAAAAATGTGATAATCTAACAAAAGCCTAACATTCAGGATGTACAAGGAACTCAAAAGTGACGAAAGGAAAAAAACCAAACAGACCCATTAAAAAGTGGGCAGGTCAGGCACGGTGGCTTATGCCTTTAATCCCAGCACTTTGGGAAGCTGAGGTGAGAGAATTGCCTGAGCCCACAGATTTGAGACCAGCCTGGGCAACTTGGCGAGACCTCATCTCTACAATAAATCAAAAAATTAGCTGGGCATGGTGTTGCATGCCTGTAGTTCCAGCTACTTGGAAGGCTGAGGTGGAAAGATCACCTGAGCCCAGCAGATCAAGGCTGTGGTGGCTGTGAGCATGCCACTGCATTCCAGCCTGGGTGACAGAGTGAAAATATGACTCAAAAAAAAAAAAAAAATGGGCAAAAGACATGAATAGACACTTCTCAAAAGAAGATATATGGGCAGCCAACAAACATGAAAAGGTGCTCAGCCTCACTAATCATCAGAGAAATGCAAATCAAAACCACATTGAGCTACCACCTAACCTCAGTAAGAATGGCCATCATTAATAAAACAAACAACAACTGATGCTGATGAGGATGTGGAGAAAAGGGAACACTTCTACGCTGCTGGTGGGACTGCAAACTAGTTCAACCTCTATGGAAAACAGCGTGGCAATTTCTAAAAGAACTAGAAATTGACTTTCCATATGATCCAGCAATCCCCCTCCTGGAAATATACCTGGAGTAACTCAAATCACTGTACAAAAAAGATACCTGAACACGCATGTTTATTGAAGCACTATTCACAATAGCAAAAACATGGAACCAACCACGCTGCTCACTGAAACTGGACTGGATTTTTAAAATGTTGTACATATATGCAATGGAATATTACACATCCATAAAGGGCAAACATATGGACTTAGATGGATTTAGTCTATAATACTCAGCGATCCATCACAGAAACAAAGAACTGAGTACCACATGTTCTCACTCATAAGTGGACCTTGAACATTTCCATAATACTATGAGAAGGAATTGGCAGTAGGGGGATACTGCTGGGGTAGGGTGGGGGAGGCGCACATAACATCAATAAGGGCACCTGATCTCAAACCAGGCAAAGTGGGGACTAAAAGGAGACCCAAACTTTACCTGCACAATGTCCACACATATACCTAATCCTGAATTGTACTTCATTCACAACTTTAAAGTAAAATGTATATTTTAAAAATTAAATATAAAAATGTGATAAAATACACAGAAAATAAGAATCATCATCTTAACCATTTTAAGTGTACAGTTCAGTAGCATTCACATTATTGTGCAATCAATCTCCAGAACTCTTTTCATCTTACAAAACTGAAACTCTATACCTGTTAAACAACAACTCCACATTCCTCCTTCTTCCAGCCCTTGACTACCACCATCTACTTTCTGTTCCTATCAGTGTGACTACTCTTTATAACTCTATAAGCGAAATCAAACAATGTTTGTCTTTTTGGGACTGGCTTATTTCACCAAGCTTTATACCCTCAAGGCTCTTCCATGTGTCAGAATGTCCTTTCTTTTTAAAGTCGAACAATATTCTACTGTATGTAGATACCACAGTATGTTATCCATTCATCTGTTAACTAACATTCGGGTTGCTTTTACCTTTTGACTATTGTAAGGAATGCTGCTGTGGACATGGGTATACAAATATCTCCTTGTGACCCTGCTTTCCATTATTTTGGATATATAGCCAGAGCTGGTTTTGCTGGATTATATGGTAATCCTATTTTTAATGTTTTCAGGGACTGCTATACTGTTTTCCATGGTGGCTATAACATTTTACATCCTCATTCGCAATGCAGAAGGGTTCCAGTGTTTCCACATCCTTATCAACACTTGTTATTTTCTGTTTTTTAATAGTAACCATCCACATGGGTATGACGTAGCATCTTGTTATGATTTAAGTAAAAACCACAGCATTTCTCTAATGATTTGTGATGTTAAGTCTCTTTTCATATGCTTGTATCCCTTTTTATGGATAAAGAAATTGAGGCTTTGAGCAGTGATGTAACCTACCTGAAGTCAGCCAGGTGGTTGGCAGTGGAGTCAAAACTGACCCCCCAGTCAGTCCAGCCACCACCCCTCTGGGGAGAGCCAGCCTGCCCAGCTCACCCTAGTGCATGCTTGCTTCCTTCCCCCCTCCCCCAACCACCAGTGCCCAGTTACCTTTTATTTTACTCCCACGGCCCAAAAAAGAAGCAAGGAAGGGAAAGGCTGCTGAAAAACAGTAAATCCTGGTGTGGCATGTGAGTGTGTGATGATGTGTGTCCCAAGAGGGACCCACTGGTCCCTGTGAACCAGCACAATATGGGTAACTATGAGTTTGCAGGCCAACCGCCACCCATTCTGCATACTCAGAGATCATCAAAACCAGTGAGGAGGGAAAAGAAAAGAAGACAGGTCAGCCCAGCTATCAGGAAAGGCTGTGGCAGGTGGCTCCAGCCCCACACTCGGCGCTGATAATACTTCTAAGAACTGATGTGGGATGAGCTGAGCCCCAGTCTTGGCTGCCCCCAGGCCATGCTGTGGGTTGGCTGGCCCAGGCCATGCTGTGGGCTGGGGGTGGGTTAGCACTAGGGGATCCCCCTTAGGGGATCAAGGCCAGAGGAGTACAGTCACTTTAGGATTCAAGGCGGCCATGGTGTTAATGGTGGGGACATCCAGAGATGGCCCACGGACTGAGCCCACTTTCCACAGGTCCTACAAATTCCACCACCACCATACCAGGCTGGCCACCATTCTCTTGCAGAAGTGTCTTCCACAGCTTCCTCGCTGGTCTTTTGCTTTCCACAGCAGTTAGAGTAAGCTCCTTCTAGAAATACGAATCTGGCTTTGCTTAGAACTCTTACTATTTCCTCACTGTCCTCAGAATAAAGTCAACTTCTCAACATACCTACAAGGCCCACTATGAACTGGCCCCTGTAGGCATTTCTAGTTTCACCTACTATTCCTTGAGCTCCAGCAACCCTCATCTATGGGAGTTCCACTTCTGAAATCTGCCATGTTCTTTGCATGGACAGGCTCTACGTATATTTTCAGACTTACGTCATCACCCCTTTTTTGGAGTATTTCCCACCTTATCCCACAGAGAGGGTAATTCATTTATCTCAAATCACACAGCAAGCAAGCCAGGATTTGAATTCAGGCTCCAGCAACCTATTGTTAACCAGGGTTGATGTCAGCCCTCTCTGCAGCACAGCCAGCGAGCCCTATGGACATCTGCGCTCTGAGGGCAGGCCCCACACCTCTGATGTCCACACCCTAGTATCCTAGTGCTCAGCGCAAGGCCTGACACAATGTCTGATGATTGCCACACTGCATTGAGAGGAAGAGACAAAGGACTAGCAGAGATCATTCCCTAGGTCTTTCTTGGAAGGAACATAGAGTAGAAGAGGGGCTAGAAGCAGGGAAATCCTGCCTGCCTATTCAATAGCAGGAAACTAGTCCATGAGGATGAGGATGCTCTCCTCCAAAGGAGGGTGTGCCCTGACCCGGCGTCTCCTGGTCCTTTCCAGATGTGAAGCAGGAAGAACACAGAAGCATGTTTACGTCCTGATTCCTGGAACTTAGAAACCTGCCACCAGACCACTTAGGATGCTGAAGGCTGGCGGCACAAGCTGGGTCCCTGCCCACCAACTGGCCCTATGCTTAGACTGGTCTCTGTGAGTCTGTCTCTCCATGAGTGCCTTGGGGCCAGGGTTATACTTCTCTGCCTCTTTGCACCCAGCCAGCACCCGGAGGCCCTCTACTTCCTTTTGGATAAGCTGGGGCCTCAGGACAGGACCCCGGGCCTCATCCCAAGGTATGTGGCAGAGCAGTATTCCTTATCCCTCCAGAAGTCTGTGGCCAGGGAACAGGTCATATCTTCCCCTGCTCTGCCCAGCAAGAAGGCCCATCTTTGTGTCTGCACCAGGCTCAACAGAGTCCCTCCTACCCTCCTCCTATCCCTGGCAGGAAGGTGACTCAGGCAGTGTGTCTGGGCAGCCTTGGGTTGGGCCTCCCTGGGCAGCATCTGAGCTCTTGGGAAACTTCATCTGTTGTGAAATTCGGAAAAGCAAAGGCAGTTGGTGACAACTCCCTTCTCCATCATCTCTTGACTGAACGGAGGAAGTCATCCCAGAATGAGCAGTAAACGAGTCCTGCTTTCCTGGAGCGCCCACCTGTTACCAGAAGCATAATCAGGCAGGCTTGAAGAGGGGAGGAACGCTGACCCGGGCACTGCACAGGGGGTCTTAAGGGAGAGCTGACGCAGACACAGAGGCACACTCCGGGTCCCCGGCCTCGGCCCGGCGGGGGCTGGCACCCACCTCGGTCACGACGGTGGACAGGTAGATGTCCTGGCTGAACTCCCAGCCATCCAGGCAGCTCTCCTGCTCCAGCTGCTCCAGGTCCACGTCGCGCCCCGGCTCCAGCCCGAGCGCCGAGAGGTTGGCGATGGTGGCGAGCCGGTAGCGGCGGCAGCTGTGGGGCACCTCGCGGCCGTCCTGCAGCCGCAGCGGGACGCTGTGGTTGCGCCAAGCGCTGCTCAGGTTCGCGGTGTCCGGCACCCG